GAGGTGTTTGTTGTCGGGATGTTTGTTGTGTTTCTGTTGGGACTGATATTGTCAGTGGAGAAATTAAAAGTGTTTTGCATTTTAAGAGAGGATGAATTATAATGTTATTTTGCTTTTTTATTCGGTATGATGATCAATTGTTGGAAGTCAAAATCTTGTGTAAGGGAATCTTAATCGTTAGATGGATCTACGCGGTATACTCTATAAATGAAAATTCATGTTTAATTATATTATCAAATATCATATGTTATGGAATAGATAAGTGATGTTTTTCAAAGTATGACATTTGTTTTTTTAATAAAAGTGTGCATATTTAATGGATGTGTTTTGTACAAGATCTATTTGATCTTGTTGTCCAAGTATCCTTGCTGCCCAAGGTTTGCCCGAGATTTACCCTTGCTGCCCACGATCTGCTCGAGATTTATCCAATCTTATCTCCAAGTCGGTATAGAATCGTTCTGAAGAACTCTTCATCAGGTCATCTGTAAAATCAGTCTACTTATCTTATTTCAAGTCTTGTATACCTTAAGTCAATAACCCATCCTGACACCAGCTCCATATGTCTGAGCTCATGAGCTCTTACTCTCTAATCAACTGGTCTTAGTTGTAAGGTTTGTAGGTCGTGATGAGACGCTTCCTGAGGTCAATCACAATCTAACGAGCTATTCAATGTTCCCTACGTCCTTACTAAGTTATAAGGTCCTAAACCATGCATCATGTTAGAGCTTCAGGACTCTTAAGCCATCCGACCCAAGTTGTTAGGCCTATTTGTCATTACCATCGAGCTACAAGTTTATAACCACTTACCATAGCTAATTCCTTGAAATCGGTTAACCGAGTTAACTTCTTGAAGCTGGTCTATCGAGCTATTCTAGTTGTTATATCGTCTAGTCCCGCCATTATCGGATGAGTTGTACTTCACTTATAATACGTTTTGACATGAAGTTGTCCTTAATAGAACTTGCTTGATATGCCTCGTCTGCCACACATGTCACTTCATCTGCCGCATGTGGTTTCATCTTCCACACCTTTCAGAAATGCCTCGTATCGCATACCCTAGATTACATATCGGTCGTTTGTTTTTCTTTCATGTAACAACTATCTTAATTCGACCTCTGATATAAAAAGAGTGGAATTGAACCATTATAGCCTTGCTGCGAGTTTAAAATTTTCATCTACTACAATTTTACCTCTTCAAATTTTCTGAAAATTTGCATTTTTATTCTGACGAAGCTCCTATCTGTTGGTATATGTGTCCTAGAGACAATCATTTTAAGGACATATATACATGATCACATTAATAATTATATTGGATTAGAATTATGGTATTGCAATTAATTAAATAATTGTTTGATTGTTTGTAATTTATTAATTAATTGCTCCCTTGAGTTAATACTGTCATTAACAGAGTGAGATGTTAATTGATAAAGTATAACTCTCAAATCGCCTCACTCGATGATCATTAAGAAAGGGATATTAATGATACTCGATAAATTGACATGTAGTATGCATCACATTCTTCGAGAATATAGTATGTCTCACTGCTATGAATAATTGTTATTCGTGATGGACACATGAATACTTTGGAGAGTATTGGCATACCCTATCGATAAACCATTTGTTTATGTGTCTATGGGAGTATCGGTGTGTGGAATGGTGTAATAGTCCTTTGACTTGAGGTAAATACGCAATTCATGTATGAAGTGATTTTCTTAGACCTAGTCCAAAGCTTACGCCCTTATGGGTAGATACGGGCTTGTGTTGGGTAAATCATGATATACATGGAATTGGTAGTTGAGCCAAGATAGGATTCATTCCTCGAATATAGTTTCGAGAGAACACTCGTTTTCTCTATACTGGGTTGATAAAGTCATTGGCCAATGCACATGATTATATTTAAAATGGTGTTCAAATATAATTGATAAAATCAACCAGTGAGATGAGATAAAATGATTAAGCTGTTTGGATAGACACACGTTCAAATCCTAAGCTTAATCGAGTGGGTTGTGAATGAAGGGACCGTATCACTATTGAATTCTACACCAAAGGTTTGTTTGCTTTGTCTATGTAAACGTACTTCATATTTTGAGTTCGTCCTTCGACGCAGTCTAGGAGTTTCGTATGGATCATAAATTAGATTTATGTCAATATATGAAGGCCTATAGGGTCACACAATATGCAATCTATTTTCCGGCTAAGAGTGAATCGAGAGTGTTAAATATTCAATTAGATTGGAATATTCATTTTTGAGTAATGAGATTTGTTGATAAACGGATTTGATCAGCTAAAATGAACACCCCTATTCCGTGAATAATCGGTGTTTGATCGATTGTATGTATATTCAAGATAGAAAAATCAAGAACTCTTTGTATTATTGTGAGGAGATGAATATCTCTCATTGTCACTATTTTTGTTGTTCTCCAAGATCTCCCCCCTTTCTTTCCTACCCCATCTTTATATATACTGTATACATGTCCTTCTTTTTACAAGTGGGACAAGTGGGGGCATTAAGAAAATGGATAAAAGGGGTACACTAGTATTTCATGTGATATGACGCCGTGGGGCCCGATCGTGACACTTGACGGCTTCGATTGACGTCTATTTTATCGGCAATTATTGTATCTGTCGGACTCGGATCTTCTCGATATCCGGGTCGGGCTGATAATATTAATTCTGATAAGCTCGAACGTGGATGATCTGGGCACTTCGGAACTCGGTCGATGTTAAATAATCAGCTCAGAGAACCTGCTATATTTATATTTATTTATAACATATATCCACGTATAATATTTTAAGAGGCGAGGTCAAAATTTGATGTCAACATAGAGGCCCCTGACTTTAGGACATGTTCTGAATAGAACTGTTCTGAAGTCATACGTAAAATAAATTTTGGCTGCGATAAATGACACATTGATGTTGGCCGGATATTTTTGGAACCGTGGACATTTTGATGATCGTTTTCAGGCGTTGGCCTGTCGTTTGGCATGTCATTCGCGCTTTATGCTCTTTGATGAGCTAAGTCGGTGAAATGGACAATTGTTTGGAATTAATATGAAATGGGAACCTGAGAGGCTTAGTCGGGTAATCTAGTACCCGATATGTGATATAATGCTTGTTGAAAGAGTCAAATGTTGGATAAGAGCCGTAACGGTTCTGTTGATCGATACGTAGGGCGCTCGGGCCTTTGCGAGTGTTTTTCATGATTTATGCGATGATTTTGCAACGACTCTTTAGCTACACATTTTTTATGGTTGGCTCTGTATGGCCTTCTTAGTTTTAGGGCATTTCGGCCGACCAAAACCATTATGGAGGTTTGGTTAATTTTAATTTAATTTTAAGTCAGTTTTTTCATTCCGACTTAAGGCATTTTGGGCATTTTTTAAAGGACGTCGATTTTTTAAACCGACTTTGAGGCACTTTGGGTCTTTTTTGAAGAACGTCAGTTTTTTAAACCGACTTTGAGACACTTTAGGCCGAACCATTCACATTCAAGTGTTTGGCTTGTTTGTTGATGTCAAGATGCAGGTATGATGCACATATGGGATGAACGTATGTATGAATGTGTAAATATACGATGAGTGCGGTGAATGATGTCACCTCGACCGCCTTACCGGGATATTAGCCGTACCAAATCAACTTCAAGATTTGTTGTAATAGGCATTTGCCGTACCAAATCAACTTCAGGATTTGGTGTAATGGGCATTTGTCGTACCAAATCAACTTTAGGATTTGGTGTAATGTGTATTTGCCGTACCAAATCAACTTCAGGATTTGGAGCAATAGGCATTTATCGTACCAAATCAACTTCAGGATTTGGTGTAATGGGTATTTTGCCGTACCAAATCAACTTCAGGATTTGGTGTAAGAATTGGGCATGGCATCTCAGCCGGTGTGGAAGCTCCACGGCGGGGAAAATATAGACGATAACTCAGTCAGAGCAAAGGCTCCAAGACGAGGAAATATAAAAGTCACTCAGCCAGAGTCGATGCTCTACAGCAAGGAAATATTGACGTTGCTCAGCCGGAGTCAAAGCTCTACGGCGAGAAAATATAGACGTAGGCTCAGCCGGAGTTGAAGCTCTACGGCGAGAAAATATAGACGTCATTCAGCCGGAGTCGAACCTCAACGGCGAGAAAGTATAGACGTCGCTCAGCCAGAGTCGAACCTCAACGACGAGAAAGTATAGATGTCGCTCAGCCGGAGTCGAAGCTCTACGGCGAGAAAATATAGACGTCAGCTCAGCTGGAGTCGCGGCTCACGACGAGCAATATAGGACGTCGGCTCAGCCGGAGTTGTGGCTCACGGCGAGCAAAATATATCGGCATCACAAATAGATAAGGGACTTCGATGCTGGTGTAGACAAATAAGTGAAGTCGCGAGTAGTCAAAGGATAAATTAGCAACGTCAGCTTGATGTCTGACGTCGACATCAGGCAAACCTTCAGGTTTTAGTTGCAACTAAGGTGTTGGTCAAAGATGGCGAGGTCGGCCAAAAAGATTGGTCGAAGATGGTCGTCTCGCCAACATGCCGCATAAATATGCCGTATGAAAAAAAATATTTAAGCCCTCGTCGACTTATGTGCTGGCTTCTTTGAGTTGTAATATTTCATCCCACTCTTCTCATTTTGCTTTGGCCCATTTGAATATAATTTTCTGGTCCAATAGTCTTAGCCCACTTTATTCATCCGCCTTCCATTCTTAAGATTAGAAGGAATTGGGGCTGCGACACACAAATTCATCAAAATCTGAAAGGGTGGGCTGCCAAGAACAATCATTAACGATGGTGGCGGAGAGATTGGGATCCAGCGACGACGATGAGATTGGGTTCCGACGTTGTAGAATCTTAGTTGGCCTTGGTCGTGAGTCCGCGGCTAAGTAAATCAGAAGTCGGACGTGTTTAT